TGTGTGTGCATAGAATATCTTAAATTGGAAGGGACCCATAAGCACCAAGTCCAACTCCCTGCTCCTCACAGGACAATCTAAGACTAAATCCTATGACTAAAATCATCATGTTCATTGTGCTTCATGACAGCTTCCTTCTGTATATGGTAGTAATTGTGTCCACCTTCTATTTACCAGCCACTGTACAGACAGTGTAGGTACAGAGTTAAGGCTGAGGTAATGGGGATGGGAAAGACATCAACATGGGTTTTTCATTTAAGGGAGTGAAAGTATCTATAGAGGTCTGAGGGCAGGCCCTCCTCAGCAGTAAGGCCTCATACACCATCTGGAGCTAGTATTGCTGCTGATGAGTGAATATGAGGAAGTTAAATTCAGAAACATATTCCTCATGGACATTCTGATATGTTCAGACTGAGAGATGTAAGTCACAAAAGTATATACATTTACATTATTTGGCTTTTAGAGTTCAATTTAAAACACTAATTTGGATCTTACAGTGTTTGTAGAACTATAACATAGTTTGGAAAGATCAATTAGCACCAAAAGCCTTGGGGTAGTTTCTTCTGAGGAGAAGCTGTCAATATTGTGGAGAGCACACTGGAGCCCATCCAGACACTCTGTTTTATGGTATACTTAGGCATAAATAGCTTCCGTGTGAAATGGTCATAGATCCATTTTGCTGAAGTGTTGTTTAGGACCTGAGTCAAACCTATTCATGAATATGGGGAGCTGTCAAACCAAATGTGCTGGCTGCGTAGTTTAATGTCCCTTTTAGAATTTTATAACACTGGCATTTACACAAACTAAGATTATAAAAGTAATCAAATTACAGGTTTGGGTTATGTGCAGATTGCTTATGAGAATCAGGAAGTGTTTTTCTCCTGCTTCTTACAAGATGTTTAGACCAGAACTGTAGAAACACAACTGAGAAATGCAGTCTTGAGGCAAAAGCATGGTGGTAACTCCCTCAGGCAATTGCAGCCTTGCTCTGGGACCCAGTGCAGCATTTCTCAGCTTAGGAGGTGCTTATTTCATTTCAGAGAATCGTATGCTGCTGCAAAAACTTTATGCTTTTGCTTGCATTTTTCTTTTCCCCCTTTATTTTTCTTCCATGGCAGATGGGGTTTTCCCTGGGTAGCCTGTTCACAGCCCTGGATGCAGCAGAATACCCTAGGTGTTTTTTCTTCTTTTTCCAAAGCCTCAGGTGTAGTCAGAGTACTAAAGTAGATGAATAAATAGGCTTCCCTGATGTGGCATATCCTGTGCTCCTAACGGCTCATTAAACAATTTCTAGCTGCCAGAATCAAGCAGCCTCCAAAACATTGATTTTACAAAAAGCAGTTACAGCACAGCTTGTCAGATTGACTCTGAGGTCTCCACGCAGCTTCTCTTCTCCAGGCTGAACAGCCCCAATGTTCTCAGCCTGTCTTTGTACGGGAGGTGCTCCAGCCCCTGCTCATCCTCATGGCCTTCTCTGGACTTGCTCCAACAGCTCTGTGTCCTTCTTAAGTTGAGGACACCAGATCATCATCTGTGCAGTTCTGTTTGCTGATTTTTGAATTTTGAAAGCTGCTTGACAGCTAAATGTTTTAAAAAAACAGGCAATTTTTGATGGCCCTCAGTAGTTGGTATTTACAAAGCAGTTCTTAGCAAAAATGTTCTGCTAATTGTTTTCACGTACTGTTTGAAAAGTCCCAGTGATTGAGCCCAGCAATTCTCTCTCCTCTTCCTTATTTACATTGTATGTAGGGTGTGGATTTCCACTTTAAAATTATTTGTCCTTGTTCTTTTATCAGCAGACAGACAGAATTAATTCCTCCTCTTTAACCCAAATGAATTATTGAAACTTTATTCATTATTTGTTTTCAAAGATAATATTTATACCCTTTCCATCAAAGTCATTCATCTATACAGACTTCTACTTATCAGTATGCTTTATTTTCATACTGCTTCTGTAAATTATAAATACCACAATCAAATCCTACTTGAAGAGTAAAGTGGCTCTGATGTTTAAGTTGGTTGCTTTGATGAGTCTGCTTCTGTAGCTGGCTCTTACCAGCATTTTCTCTGACCTTGATCAAGTCACTCATCAGTGCCTCAGTTCTTCTGACTGCAAACTGGAGGTTACACTGAGGATCCTTCAAAGCCTGGAATCTCAACTCTTCTGTATTTTAAAAGCTATTTGTCAAACAGAACCCAGTTGAAGTGCAAACTTTTATGACTAGTCATGATGTAAATTATTATGAGGGTGCTTATGTTAAAATGTTCAACTTGGTGATCTTTTATGATCTCTGTTAGGACTTGTGAGTAAAAGCCTGGGGAATAAGGTGATGGTAAACCAAAGACCCATTTAAAGTAGTTTGCAATCTTTCCTCTTTTTTTTTTAATGATTTAAAACTGACACTGGTTCTTAGCTCAGTTTCCAGACCTACATGTTCAAATTTTTTCTTCTCCAAATAAAATCTCACAGAAATTTGGTTTTAAATGCTGCAATCTGATGCTTTCATCTGATAATTTTATATTTCTTTGAGAATCAACTTATTTTGTAACCTGTTGTATTTGGCTAAATGAGTGAAATCACACCGGAAGACACCTCTGTTATTTGAAACTGGCATTATTTAATATGAACTTGAATTTTAGCCTCAGTTTGTTATCAGAAATTGATTTGCAAAGTCAACTGAAACAAACCTGTGTCCAACCAGTCACTAGTTCTTAATTTAATGAGTAACCACTTAATGTAGTTAATATGCTTTAGTTTTACACACACATATAGAATCATAGATTATCCCAAGTTGGAAGGGACCCATAAGGATCATCAACTCCAACTCTCTCCTCCTTGCAGGACTACCTAAAACTAATCCATATGACTAAGAGCATCATCCATACACACCCTGAATCCTGACAGGCTTGGCGCTGTGACAAATTCCCTGGGGAACCTGTTCCAGTGACCAATCACCCTCTCAGTGAAGAATCTTTTCCTAATGTCCAATCTGAACTTTCCCTGGCGCAGCTTCATTCCATTTCCATGTGTCCTATTGCTGATCACCAGAGAGAGATTAGTATCTCCCCCTCCACTGCTTTCCTTGAGGAAGGCATAGGGTGCAAAGAAGTTACAGCAATGTAAAGCGTTATGATCTCATTTTATCCTGCTAATGTAGAACCACTGAAGATAAAGGTATTGTGAAACATATTGAGACAGCTTAAGGCAATTTCAGTTTTATCTCAGAAATAGCTGACAACTACATACTTACAAATGATGCTACTCAGTTAAGTATGTGATTTTAAAACAGCTTATCAATCATTGATCTGTAAAACAGTCTTTGTTTCTAGATCAAACAGGACAGCAACTTTTCACCATTAAATTATCAAGAGATAAATGTATGTATATATAGGAATATGTGTGTTTACACACAGATTTTAAGTGTGTACCAGCACTTACAGAAACAGAATGATGATATCTCCTGTGCATAAAGTTATTGATTTGTGATTTGAATAAATAATTTCAGATAGAAAATATAACACGATAATGAAATATCCTCTTCCTGGGAGAAAACAACTGTGATTTTACTTACTGTGATGTCACTATGCATGCTACTTCCGAAAATATTGCTTGTACTATTCTTGTTTTATTCTTCAAGGTCTCTGGGGTGTATTTTGTACGAGATGTGCTGTATGAATCATGCCTTCAGTGGGCACAATTTTTTGTCTGTGGTGTTAAAAATCGTAGAGGGTGATACCCCTTCCCTTCCTGATAGATATCCAAGCAAGCTGAATGCTGTGCTGTGCAGGTATGATGTTTTCTTTGTATAGCACTTTTTAAAGTAAATTTGGAAAACCACATAATTATGACTTTTGGTTTTTAATGTTTCAGCATGTTAAATAAGAACCCTTCATTGAGACCAACAGCAGCAGAGATCCTTAAAATCCCTTATATTGATGAACAACTAAAGGTATATAAAGAAAAGCTACAGCTGTATACTTACTGTTTGAATATGTGTTTTGCAAAAGCGGAATAGAGGCAGAGTAAATGTCTTGCGCTAGCAGTTCATGGAAACATTAATCCAGGTAACTTCCGGAGCTAAATTCCAAATACGACTGAGGTATTGAAGCAGTGAGAAATGAAGCCCTTGTCATTTTACATCCTGAATGAATCCCTTTTTAAATGATGTAAGCAATAAGGAGAATGGGCATTTATGTGGAACAAGTGCAGATCATTTGGGCCTGGGTACATACAATCTCTAAACTGTTCTGGTTAGTCATAGTTTAATGAAAACAGTGCGTCTTGCTCTTTTGGCCCCTGCTTCAGTGTATATATTATTTGGCTTTCTAAGAAGGTGAGAAAGAAAACTGCTCAGTCAGTTTTTGCATTAGAAGTGTACTAGGTCATTGCTGAAGAATCTGTATCACTTTAGCCGCAAGAATTGATACCACTCCTATCTTTTTTCCTTACAGAATATACAGTTGAAGTTCACAAACATGACTGTGAAAAACAAGGCACTGAACTGGCAGAAAGAAGCTGCTCCCATTTTTGATTCTGTGTAAGTATTTTTAACTGGTTTATGGGCAGCAATAGTTTGGGTTGGAAAGGACCTTAAGATCACCCAGTTCCAACCCCCTGCCATGGGCAGGGACACCTCACACTAGACCATGTCACCCAAGACTCCATCCAACTTGGTCTTGAACACTGCCAGGGGTGGGGCCGAACACTGCCAGGGATGGGGCAGCCACAGCTTCTCTGGGGCAACCTGTGCCAGCGCCTCAGCACCCTCACAGGGAAGAACTACTTCCTTTTATCTAACCTGAACTTCCCCTGTTTCAGTTTAAACCCATCACCCCTTGTCCTATCACTACAGTCCCTGATGAAGAGTCCCTCTCCAGTAGCTTTTGTAGCCCCCTTCAGACACTGGAAGCTGCTCTGAGGTCTCCACGCAGCTCTTCTCTAGGCTAAACAGCCCCAGTGTTCTCAGCCTGTCTTCATACAGGAGCTGCTCCAGCCCCTGCTCATCCTCGTGGCCTTCTCTGGACTTGCTCCAACAGCTCCGTATCCTTCTTATGCTGAGGACACCAGCCCTGCACACAGTGCTGCAAGTGGGGTCTCATGGAGAGCAGAGAAGAGGGGCAGGATCCCCTCCCTCGACCTGCTGCTCATGCTGCTGAGGATGCAGCTCAGTATAGGGGCTGTATATACCCACTATGTATAAAATTACAGTCTTGCCAAATAATATAATGTTGTAAACAGTTGTGTTTTCTCATAGGGCTTAATATTTAGAGGACCCCATTCCCCAGAAATACAGAGGAGCAACAACGTTAATGAGATGCATGGTTAAGATTTGGGGGGGGGGAAAGATTTGCAAATCAAGTCTTTTTATTATACAACTGTGTAAATTGCACATGCATGTAGTATATGCGCACATTAATTTAGTACTCATTGACATGCAAATTATGACCTTTGTCTTCACATTTTGAAGGTTTAGATCATCATTTTAGTTATGGCATGATAATTTATAGTGCTGCTGTTTGTGTAGCTAATAATCATTAAGTGTGAAATCTACGTTTCCTAAATGACGCCAAACTAAAAGCATATACACTTAAACACTTAAACTAATATTCAGCTCATATATCCGTAGGATACTATTCTATTTTCTTGTAACTACAGTGAGAAACTAAGACTAGTTTGGTTCTTACACCAGTAATGCCTTCACATATGATCTCTCTTTTAGGCACCGAATATATATGAAAGAGACGAACTATATTAAATTTCAGTGCTGCACTGATTAAAGCAAATGTCAGCATGGGCAGTTTCATTTTGCCTTTGTAAATGAGCTCTGTAGATTTGATAGCAGCTCACCTTCCCCTTTGCTTGCTGTCCCTGAGTTTTCTGTACATGGCTTTGCTCCGTTAGAAGCTAGCACACTCAGAATCAGGAGTCTGTGGTGTGGATACAGTCTGTGTGGATACAGTGGACATCCCTGTTTCTTTTTCCTAAATAATTGCCAAAACTTCAACAGTGGTTTTTTGTGACCTCTGCTCTTGGAGAGGACTGACAGTTTTGTGGCTGTAGTCACTTTTTAGATGCTGCCAATTCTGCTGCTCACAAGCATCCCTTTGGGAGAGGTGACCAGCTTCAGCTTTTCCAAAGTGTTATTTAGTATTGGTGGTAGGAAGAAAGCAGAGCAAAGACAGTGTAATTCTACACAGCAAAATCTGTCCGTGTTTTTTACCCAGTGTAACTACTGGGACTGTATCTGTAAAGCTCTCATCTCTAGAAATTGTGGTTTGGCTTTCCACCCTGTCACTTCTGTTCTTGCTCTGTTTTGTTGACAGATGAGCCCCTGTCTTTTTATAAGGCTGAAGTTCTACATTTTGGTATAAATAGGTACCTTTAATATAAATACGTTATTGAACTTTGAAAGCATAGAAGTAAAATGCAACAGTAAATTATACCTCTATGACTAGTAACAACTACCTAAATAAATAAAGGCAAGTGGAGCCAGCTGAGACTGCTGTCAAGTTTTTTGCCTTACTATTCTAATGATCTGCTAGAAGTAACCATTTGCTAGTATATTGGGAATAAGAGTCAGACAGGTAGATATGTAACAGCCAGGAAGTATTAGATGTATCATTTGTCTATGGCTGCTGTATTCAAGGTGATTCAATTAACTTTGCACCAATTCCTGTCTCTTCAAATTAAATATAGTTATCTGCAGAGATATTCCTTAGAGTAGTTTGGGGGGAATGAAATGTTGCCCAATTATTATGCCAACTCTATCTGAATTATATTGGGTATTTAATGCCTATTGAAACATAAAATATCAGAATCTTCAAGAAAATTTTAATCCATGCCTTTATTTTGTGGGTACAAGATTTCACATTCTCTCTTTGAGGAAGCAGTATTTTTACCTGCAAAATACATACAGAAACTTCTACAACAGTCTGCTAAAGCCACTTTCTATTATTTGTAATATATACTGTGTTCCGTATCTGATCCATTGTCATTAGTTTGAATGTATTGAGTCCAAATGCACATCATGTATTGACAGAGTTATCATAGGGGGAGGACATTCATGTATATCCTAGAATCTGTACCTGTTCTTGTTTAAAAGTAAGTCTCTGGTCTCCAAGATGAAGAGTAAGTTCTAAATGCAAATACCATGTTGTTATAGATGTGCTAAAAGAAAATAGAAAGCCAGCGGCTTCTATGCAGAGGTTCAGAGTTCCTAAAAATTGTGGAGCAATGGATGACAACTGGTTTTGATTGAGCATGGAAGTTTACCTTGAGGTTTTCAAATTCAGAGCATCAAATTGACCAAAAAATAATATCCTAGGAGAAGCTTCACTATAAATTATCTTCAGATGTGTTTCAGTCTGACTATTTTTGACAAAATGTTTGGAATGTGCATGAACTCATCATCTTCTTATGACTTTCATTGTATTTATGAGAATATCAGCTGTTTGTATGGCTACTGGTAAGCAAAATGCCAAATAGTTGCTGCAATCCCAGAGCTAAAGAGGAAGCCAAATGAAATAGAAGTACCTGAGAATTGGTAGAGAAGAGAAAATTGGAGGAGAAATAACTTAAACATAGTGAATTTCCCACATCTGCTGTAATGAACCAATACTGCAGTCTCTGTGAGTGTACAGGGAGCTGCTTGTTATGGTGTACTCCTTAATCCTTGCTACTTTATATTTATGATTTCTGTTTTCTTACCAGGAATTATTTTTGCTGTGTGTAGTTGAATCTAGTTTCTTCTGGTAAAGGCCTCTAATGGCTTCCTTTATTCCAGTCCCATGCAAGTCATACATTTTAAATAATGAAGTATAAAACTACAAGTTCAGGTTCAACTTGGATGAAAAACAATTTTTTCCCCAAGAGATTTTTATAATTTAAATGAGATTTTTTTTTTATAGGGGACAAGAAATATGTCTACATTATTCATACTTGAAGACTTGATTCCATACTTATGAATAATTGAACTCTTCTTGTCTTTGTCCTTAGCCTTTCATATTTTACACTAATATTCATATCTTTACACTATTTCCCTCTATAGTCAACATTTAAAAGACATAATGAGAACTTCTCATTTATTAAAATCCTGATGTCAGAATGATAGTCCAAAAGGAGTGTTACAATTTGTATGGTAATAAAACTGGGCTTTTAGATGATCATAAGTGAATTTATCTCAGAAAAGCAAAAATAGTAACTTGAATACTTGGTATCATAACTACATGGTATAATAAATATATATTTGAGTAAGGGAAACATGACTGCTAAGACATTTCAAACTATGTTTTAAGATTTGTAATTACTGCAGGATAAAAATCTGAGATTAATATCCTTTTTCTGATACAGGTATCTCCTGTGTTGATAAATGCAGCTGAGATATATATGTCAATAATTCATGCTCAGCTTTCAGAGATGGTCTATGGAGACCATTTTACTGGTAAATTATTATTGATTAGGACCAGAAATTCAAGAGGCCAACATGATAATTATATCTGTCATTAAAGACACATTAATGTTCTCTTCTGTGCTAGACAGCTTGTAACAGTCAATGTAAAATGTATGGCTTATGTTGCTTTTTCCTGTGGTTCTCATTTAAAGCCTGCCTTTGTACTTGGAATATGCTAAATAATGAAGCCTGCCAGGGTAAATATTTCATTGTGCTTCAACATTTATTCTTTCCAGGAGCTGACTTTACTTTTTTTCCATTTTCACCCAAGATGCCTGAAATGATTCACGCTCTTCATGAATCTAAGTTTAAATTCATCTGAACAGAGACATTTGCTTTCCAAATGAAAGTCTATTTAATCTGTTCTAGAACCTGTGGATTTCTAACTATTCCAGTTGAAATGTCAACTATGTTTCAATATCAAATCAAATCAAAGTAATGATATTTACAGTTTTATTATGAAGATGGGCTTGCATGTATTCAATTCCAGGCAGAGGAAAGTTCATCTGCAAACTCTGCAGGATCTGTCTGAAGTACAGAAGATGACACCGCGGGAACGTATGAGGCTGAGGAAGTTAAATGCTACCAATGAGAAAGCAAAGAAGTTGAAGTAAGTTAAGCTTATTGTTTGCATTGTGCCCTAACTATGCACTTTACCCATCCAACAGCCTAATCAGACAGTTAGAACTGGTAAGGTGAAAATAGCAATAGAAAAGGTCTTCAGCTATTCAAAGTGAATGGGGATTTTGGATGATTTGAATCCTTTTATGTATTAAAAAAAAGTCAAAACATTAGCCCAAAACTGACACTTTGAGCACTGTGTTTCTGGTTAAATAAGTATATGAGAGATTTTCAAATGTGTTACAGTAGGGGACTTTTTCTTAATGACTTGTCATTTTAAGGATTGCACAATTAGAGGAGCTGGACATTCAGTTACAGTCCAGCTTTTGTCAGTTGATTTGGCCAAAGAGATGTGCCAATAGAAGTTAATAGCTCAGAGGATAGTCTTATCAAATGGGCAGATGAGGGTATTGGATGTGTTGAAAAGGCTTTATGATTTATGGTTTTTATTGAGTAACATAATAAAACGGGGGATTTGAAGGAGAATAAGTACAATTTCTGAGTGGAATATAAGAAATGGGTAGAAGGCTGCATGTCTATGCATGGATTCTTTTTCTAAATAAAGAGAAGAATATGCTGTTTTGATGACACACCAGAGTTTTTCACAGTTAGAAATATCCGGTGTTTTATTTGGTATGAATGAAAATGGGAAAAGCACTATAGTAATTTTTAATGGTTTCTTCAAAAGCATTTTTGCAAAGTGCAATGTAAATTAACAAATGTTTACTTATTTATAGAGGGTAACAGACAGAATACTTATTTTTGATTGCAAGAATCAGCATCTTAATCCTGCCGTGCGAAAGCAAGTCAGCAATTCAGTAAAGCAATGATGTCCTAGTACAGAAGAATATTATCAGGTGACATGAAGTCTAAACTTACGGTCTCAGGAACTGTACGGCTACATAGACCTGCAAATCAAAAGTAACTGCAGCCGAGCAGAAATGCTCTGTAAAAATCACATCCTAGCATTACTTGTGCCAACTTGTGATGTTCATACTCAAAAGCTACAAACAAAAAAAGCTAAACGTGTGAATTTCCCTTTGGAAAATACCAAAAACTATGAGCATTTATGTCTGCCTGTCTGACACTTACTATTTCATTTGATACTGGATATGGTATGTAAATTTATTCTCATTTAGAAAAAGTCTTCTTGAATTGAAACCACTGTATGAAAGGTACTAAATTTAACACCTCTTCTACATGGTGTTTTCAACAATGTGGTAGGCAGATTTTTGTACTTATATGAAATTTATAAATAAGAACTCTGTCTCACTTTTTATAAACGGATGGGGGTTAGGAAATAATACTAATTACAGGATAGTTCTAGTTTGCTTTTCATTTTCTTTGCTTCCTTGCATTTCAGTGTTTTCTAGTTAGATTCCCCACCCCCCCAAAAA